TTAAGAGGAACAGAGAAGTGATCAGGGAACAAAGGTATTAAAATAATGAGACTAGAACCTGCACAACCCTACAAATGGATAAAATGGATAAAAATTAATCTATGCCTGATTTATTCTCAACAATAAACTACATTTTAAAGATAACTGAAATGAGGCAAATCCTACCTTAACATAAAACGAGCTTTTGTTTTTGTTGTTGGGTACTTAATGCAATATAAGCCAAGGAAAGTCAGAGCTGTGACCAACTCTTAGACAATAACCCCAAAGATAGGATACTGCCACATGCTGGAAGCATTCAAAAAGCTACTTTTACATGAGGTGATCTGAAGTTCAGCCTCCCACCTCCCAAAGCAAAGGCGTCTGTCTCCTGGGGTAAAATTCCATCTCTCCTGCTGACTGTGTTCCATTCTGCAAGCCCTGCTTGAATATTCAGAGATTAACAAAAAAACAAAACAAAACCTACCCAAACAAAAAAAAAATAAATTAAATAATTAAGTATCAGCATTTAGAGAAGGCAATGGATTGATTTGGTACCTGGTTCCATCCTTTTTTCAGTCCTCTCAGAGAAGACGTCTCAATAAAAGAATTCCAACTCCTTTCCACAGAGATCTAAACTCAATTGGATTTCATCCCACAAACATGGGAAACTAAGCTACCATTTCAGCAGTCCACACAAGCCTAACCTAGCAAGATAGAGCTCCCTGAGATCTGTCTTGCCCTAACTCTACTTAGACTAGCACCCACTCTGTCTTTAATCTTGCTTTGTTTTCTACCACTGCAATCCCCTTCCCAAACAGTCAGAATAAAATACTCCCAGGCATGGGATTAATCAGTTGTGGAGTTCTCTCTCATGGCAAGCAAAAGCCATACTGCTCCAAGGCTTTAATATAAGACTGGAAAGATACTGAAGGGAAAAAAAATCTCACTTCTAGGAAATCTAACTATGATAGACAGCCCTGAAATACACTGCTGAAAATGATTGTTGCATTCTATAACATTAAGATTTAATTACACACAGGCCCACTGGTTTCACACAGGCCCACTGGTTTCCTCTGTTGTGGATCTACTCTTCAAACTATCTGTTGATCAAGTTAGGATGAAAACCATTATTTCTTCTTAATGTCTGTATACACAGAGAACATTAGGACAAATGTCATGTTTCAGCCCTTTCCTTAATTTCTACAGATTGTGATCAAAGCCAGAGAGCCTAATTTTCCTCCAGCACATGGGGGTAAAAAAAAAAAATAAAATATCTAAGGTGTTCACACTTAAGTTAATGGAATTGTACCCATATAAAACTGGGTAAAAGAGTAAACTGAGCCCTGAATCAGATTTTCAAGCTTAAGCAGACTAGCAGAAAGCCCATGCAAATCACAGTCCATGGAATGTATGCAATAGCTGCCTCATCAAACCAGGATGCTGTGTAGAGATAACATGACACTACAACCATGTACTTGGTTACAACAATATAGGCAGCACTGTAATTACAATAATGACCTCCCAGAGCTATTGTGTCTTTAATTAAGCCTTTAAGAGTAGGCATTTGCCACTTAATCCTAACTCACTGTAACTACTGCAGCATATCATCTACATTTTCACAAAGAATTACTGTGTCATATTTCTGTCAGAAGGATGAAAGGGAATATTTTAGTTCAAGTGGCATTTACAGAATGAAACCGTATGAAATAAGTGGCCCATAGATGTCCTTTTAACAGCACTTCAGACCAAGTAAATGCTTCTGTTCCCTTTCTTTCTCTTACTACTCTGCTTCTTCCCAGAGTAAACTGGGAGAAAGCAGGCAGGAGGGGCTACACAGAGCCAATATCACACCTGATTACATGGATGATAAAGCTGTGACAACAGATTTTAACCAGAATACAGCGCACAGCAGCAATGCCACAAACTTACAGTTTTCCAGTTTCATTTAACTCTTTACCACTCGTCAAAAATGTACCAGCAAATAGTTCTTAGTGGTGCCCACCAACTCTGTCTCTGCTTTCTTTGATTGGGAAAGCTTTCCTGAGATCCCTTCCTATTTAAAAGTTTTCTCAGCTAAAGTAATATACAGTGCAAAGGAGTGTTATGTTATTTTCAACACCATTAACAAAATGTTAGGGGTATTTTTCTAATAATGGCTCTAATAATGAAGAATTCTTTCCAAAAACATGTGAGTATGCAGAAGAGTTTGTAGAGTTTCTGTCTGTTGTCTGAATGGCACCACTGTTAACTCAGAAATCGGGACACTGAGTAGCTCTGTCGGTTCTACTTGACTTTAACAGACTCAAAGGCACCGGGGATGAGAACAATTTTCTGCTTGTTTATTTGAGGGATTCTTACTCTAACTATGGAAACCTGACTCGGCACAATTTCCACATCTTTTCAGTGTCTTCTTTGATACTGAGTATTTTCATTCCATTATACTATTTGCCTCCATCAACTCAAATACCACATCCAAACAGTTTGATGAATGAGAAGAATTAAATCAAAAACTATGAAAGTAGTAAGGGAATTTAAAAGTGATCATTAGCCCCTTGTGCATTTCTGTATTATCACAAAACGCTTTCCACACTGCCTTGCCCTTGCACACTAGAGAAGAAACAAAACCAATATTATTTTAAATTTTCTGCACAAACAAGGCAGGGTCTTTTAATCAACAGTCATCACCAGTTTAAACCAAGCATTCTGATAACTGTAGCCTTTCAAAAGCACCCACATCCCACTATCCTACCAGACTTGGACATCTTCTCTGAGCTTTCTGTTCTTTCTCCAAGCAAGTATATTCAGTTACTTCCATGGCTGACCTTTAAAATACTGAAAACAAAGCATTGTTTATATTAATATGCTACCTGAATGACATATAAACAAAAACCAAAACAAAACACAAAAAAAACCCCACAAAAACAAAAATATTTTTTTATCTCCAGAAACATTAATTTCTCTTCCCCAAAATCTTATTTTGTTATTGTATTTCAGACCTTTGTCATGCTTGTTCTACCATTTTACAAGATCTTTCATGAGCCTGAAAAATACTCACTGTTCACATCACAGGATAGACGTCAGCTGCTGCCTTAAGTTTCTTTCCTTCTCGTTTTCCTTCCTCTCCTACTCTGTGCTGGAGTGTTAAAATCGTATTACCTTCCCAAGCTGATCTCGATAATAATCCACAATGGATTACTAGAGCATGAGAGAAACTAATGCTGAGTGGCTCTTTTCTGCCACTTCAGGTGTAAGTAATACTACTATATCAGGTACACAGAGGCAACCTCTCAGCAAATTCTAATCTTCTCCTGCCCACACACCATGCAAGTCTCGTGAAGTAATCAAGGCTGACACTGACTGCTAAAAACTTGAACAAAATTACTTTGCGTTGTAGCACCCAATGCTTTATTCATATTACAAACCAAATTTTGCACACACAAGTGGAAAGATTTATTGATAAATACTGGTTGGCAGGGACAAACTATCCATAGATAAAATAGGTGTTGGAATGGTTAAAGGTGTTTGAAATGGTTGATGAGCATGTGCGGCTCTTTTCTGCCACTTCAGGGGTATTTACTGTATCAGGTACAAAAATGCAACCTCTTCTCTTTGTAAGGAAGCAATTCAAGCTGTTCTAAGCCACTCAGAAGAGTCTACAAGATTTGTCTATAGCCAGCATTTTCTGGTTGGGCATCATTCAAAAACATTTATAGAAAACTGGCTTCCTATTACAAATAACATAAACAAGATCTTTTATTTTGTGACTGGATTGAGGATGGGAAGGGAAATGACACTACCTTTTTAATTCTTTGGCATCTAACCAAAGGAAAACAAAGATCAAAATAAAACTTCCAGTATTTCTGTTCAATACAAAATTTTGTAGTACTCTGAAATTATTCCGTTTCGGTTTTTTATTAACTCCTTCTTATGGGCAGATAATTTTGAAATCAAAACACTTCAAAATACCCAAAAACTCAAAAGAAAAACAGTCTGCGTTTCTCTAAATGAAAGGTATTACTTCAATATTTCAGAGTGCTTCTCTTTGTGTTCCTGCTTTTAAAGAATTATCCACCACCCCGTGAGGATACAGCAATATGATAGACACATCTTAAATTACTTCCCTAAGGTGAGAGAAAGGAGGTTCAGCCCTAATGAGCCAGCCCTCTTGCCAACACTTTTGCATATCACCCTTAACCAGACCCTTCTCTCCAGGCTTGATGTGAAAAGGTCACTGGCCTTTTATCTAGAGGAGATAGACCCTGCGAAGTCCAACCATCTCTTCATTTCATTTGACACCGAAGCAACAACCCCTGCCTCGCTGCTGCAAGGCAGGCACCTCCAAATGCCTGATCACATATCTTTCTACTACAGCTTGACAGGCTTACAGTGTGAAGGATGTGTTAGAGCTCATTCCATTTGGAAAAGAACATCTTTGATGAAATGGTATCTCTCTCTCTTTAGAAAATGTACTAAGTAATTGGAAGTTCTTCGTGACAATTAGAATCACATCCCAAAACTTGTCATGGATTTCTGCAAGCTTTGGTTAAAGCACACATATACCAAATGAGACTGTTTGGGTTTGATTTCTTGAAGGAATTTAGGTTGAGTCTGCAAATGTTAAAATAGGTTCAGGCAGCAGTGCAATGTGACTGACGTGCCCTCGTACTTCCACATCTTAAGCAGCATGGATTTCCTTCCTCACACACAGACAGTTGCCCCTTTTTAGAATTTGTTTTCAAAACATAATAATATTTTATTACTAAAATTCTTATTTCTATGCAGGACACATTTATTTTTAATACCACTGGGCTGAGTCAATCTTTCAGATACTATTTCTGATCAAGCTCTGAGACAGTTTATTTGAAAGTCATCCCTGGAGTGTGAAATGGGTATCTTTACAAAGATGTCTGAAATTCTACTCTCTCATTGCAAATGGCCTCATCCCAACAAATAACTTTATGTTCTCTAGAAACAGAAGGATTCAATGATTTTTTTGTTGTTGTTTATAAAAATCCTTTTCCTACTGTTTTGGGAAAAATATTGCCATGAATTCAGCTGGTCAAACCCTTCTGTCCACAGAAGCATCTAGCTCCTAAAGAAAAAAGGAAAGAAAAGGTCCAAATTAAGTACATGACTAGTAGCAAGAAATTAACAGATATATCCAACTCCAAACTCAGCATCAAGTTCAAGCCATCATGGATGGGTAGAGAAGAAGGTGGACTTTTGCTGAGGGGAACACAAATCCATCCTGTGCCTTGTGAAAGCTGTGCAGCTCACCAGTGGCAGCAGAAAAGGTGGGGAATGGTTTCCCACCCCCAGCACTCAATGGCATACATTGTTATACACAGAACTGCTCTTGTTGAGTCTGCAGTGAGCCAACTGGAAAGCAGACAGAAGCAGGTACTGATATTACACCAGAGCATATTGTCACTGCTAGAGCCAACGTACCATCACCGAAGCTGCCAATTATCCCCAAGTCACTGATACATTATTTTTTTTAATCCCACGGAACAATCTTTTGCTGGAGGCTTTTTCACACCCATGACTGAAGTATCCCTGGTGGCATGTTGGCTAATTAAGAGTAAAATCCATCTCTTGATGAAATAACACTGCCACTGAAAGAGATTTCTACAGTTAGAAAAAAAAATGTTTAATCAGGCTAGGAGGAGCAGCATCCTAACACTTGCACTACGCACGGGAAAGAGGTCTACAGCTAGCAATTAACAATGATGAAAAGGACAGTGATTTAAAGCATATTGCCATGACATTTTTATCAAAGTAAATGAGTTTGCTAGGCCCAGCGGCTGCATATGCTTATTGTCATTTAATGTTTGGATAGCAACACATCAGGCACCGAGTATCAGGAGGTGCCGAATTTAATAAGTCATTTTGACACTGGCGTGAAACGAACAAATCAGCATTCTGAGGAATGTGTTCACACTCTGAGCAGACAGGCAGACATCCTAAGCATGTGAGGTGACACCAATCAACAAAAAAAAATGGGAGGTGGGAAAGAAAGGGAGTGAGAGATGAAAGCCAGGAGAAGAAACAGGCAGCGATACTCCGATGAAAAACTAGTTTTGTCCTGTCTGCTGGTTTGCCTGGTTGGTGTCAACAAGGCAAATTTCTTTTCACTAAGGCTGAGATACACTGCCTATCTTCGATGGCATAAATCTCATGTATTATTTAAGCCCTACATGGATTATCTCAAATGAACTAAAATTAATGTCATGGAAATCTTTCAGGACTTTTCATTGCTTTAGTGGCAATGCAAAATTCCTGCCACGTGCACAGTTAATCAGAGCTTGTTTTTTCGCACAACAAGGCTGGCTCTGCACATGTGCTTTGAGAGCCTCTCAGGCACTTTCTCCCCGAAGCCCAGAGGAGTTGTGCCTGTGTGAGCAAACTAAGGCTCTGGCTTTTCAAGACTTTCAAAGCACCGGCAGCAGTTTTGATCCCAGCTCCTCCACCCTCTGCAGATTGGCTGCTCGCTCTGTCCCTGGCCTTCCAACCCTATTTATATTCTCTTTACCTCAGGGTATGTCTGTAGTGCAGAGGTACCTGAGTTAGCTATAGAACTCCCCAGCTCAGGTGCTGCTGTAGATGTGGTTGTGTGGAACTCAGTGCAGACTAATTTACCCCCACTGTCCCTAATTCATTTAAAGTTACTTTAACTAGGCCTACCTGTCAGACTCACTCCCCAGCACCATGTCCCTGTCCTCACCTCTGCATTTCCAAACACTCAATATTTCACCACCAGTCTTTTCACTGGGCTTGTCTATTTCTAAATTAAGATTCAAAACCCAAAAGAATTGTTGGTACAAATTCAACAGTCTATTTGCAATTTGAGATTTATCTCAAACTGTACCTTAACAGGGCTGACAAATTCCTTTTCAGCCAGTCCTGAATGCCTAAAAATGCACACAAAAAAAGTCTTGGGAGACAAATGACATCTCCTTGTCTTGCAGAGCATCAGAAAATACATTAGGATATGATAAAACAACTGTTATGATTAAGAAAAATGAGGCATTAGGGAATATAACCTAGAGTAGGAGCAGCATTAAGGAGATGGGGTGGAAAGAGAAGAAAGGAGTGATGAAAGCTATTAATGTTCTGTCGATTTCCAATCCACATAAGTGAGAATAAATCTACTTTCTTCACATATACTGTTTAGACTTACTCTCCCTCCCTATTTGGACCTGTGCTCTTCCCCACAAAAGATAAAAAGTTTGAGTTGACTATCAGGTAAATACATCAACAAAGCAAGAAAGGAAAAATAAGATATCATTGATACTGGAACCAAGTAATTCTATCAGCCAGCTAATTCTATCAGTGGGCATAACCCACATTTGAAGGGGTATCCACTGAAAAACAAGGACAGTTGCTATTTTTCTCGGCTGATGGGAGTTCTCAAGAAAATAGTGTCAGGTTTGCAACATCAAGAAAAGAACAGGCTGAGGTGATCTCCTTACTTTTTAGAGGAACTCCCCATCCACAGACACTGCTGCACCTAATCCAGTCACAGATTACATCAAAAAACTGATGGTTACCCAGCTTTTATCCCTTCCCTCCCTCACCAGAGAAACAGTGAGCATAACAAACTATCTTCAGCACAGCTTCAGCACTGAAGCAGAAGATAAACATTTCAGCCATGAGCCTCCTGAAAGAGATGGTGCTTCCTGCCCTAGGGAAATACAGGGCACGGGAGGCATTTCACAGGCCTGAGGGTTTGGAATTCACTAGGATCTCTCAGGCAGCACATGGCGACTCCAGGTTAATAAAGTTAAAAGTGTGTTATATTGCTTGTTAAACTTTTCAATAAGAGCTGAAACAAGAGCAAGAGGGGCTCTGGGACCACAAAAATCCTAGTAACAGGAAGAACTGTATACAATGCTGGACAGGGAGCAAGGAACATGCAGCTGTGAAAGACCAGGGGAGCAGGATTATTGAACATGGAGCCTTGCAAGTGTGTCTGAGCCATCCAGTCACAATGGGCTACAGAAGACAGAGGGGAGCTCTGGTGCTCAGCCAGGTATGAGCATCTTCTCACGGCCCAGAATACATCCCCCTCCTAAGATTCAGCTGGCTGAGTTCAAGATCAGCTCCCTCACTGATAAGGGCTGCTATGAAGAAAGCCAGAAGCAAGGACCTGCCCCTCATTTCCCTTGGGAACCATTTTTAAGCTGAAGCTTTACCACAGGTCCCCACCTTTGCTAACTGTCAGGGAGCAATGAGGGCAGGGGGCTCTGCAAGGCACTGGAATTTGGGAACAAAGAAGGCTCATAAAGAAGGTTCCAGCACTGCCCTCACCAACACAGAGCTGGAGCAGAAACTGGCAGGTCCAGGTCAAGACGAGGGCAAGAGGCAGTGATCAGTCAGACATAGCCCAGTGATCACACAGCAAATCTGCAGTGCTGGGGCACATCAGGAATGCCAGCAGGCTGGGTCAGAGTTGTGTCAGCATGAGACCACGGCAGATACAGCTGCTGCAAGGCTGTGATGGAGCACAGGTAGGGCCAGCAGTAAAACCTCAGCTTTGCACCAACTCCTAAAGGAAAGGGGGGACAGCCATCACTTCTAGCTTTCTTCACAAGAGCTCTTATCAGTGAAGGAACTGACCTTGGGCTGTGCCAGCTAAATTCTAACCTAGCCAGATAACTCCTACAAGGGGCCTGTGCCCAGGTCTGACAACTTTGATGGCTCAGGCCCCACATCAGTTGTCTCTCACTGATACAGCAAAGACCATGAGAGAGGAAGGAGGTGTCATGGACCAGCCTGTCTGCTCCACTACTACATTCAGTGTAAACTCCAGCAAATCTGAGGCAAAAGAAAAGAAAAGCTCCTGAAGGCAAAACCAACGTTACAGCTGAGTTTAAAGGTCACATATCAGCAGAGGAAAATAAGTTCTCAAACCTCTGAAATGCAGTCTCTTCTCTGCAACCACAGGTTGCAAACATTTTCTAATTTTCTTTAGTGTTCAGAAGCCAGCTCATCTGCATCCTAGGTCACTGCAGGAAGAAGAGCTAGAGCAGAGGGAAGGCTTCTAAGACCTACACATCCTCCAATCTTTTTTAACTTTAGGGGGCAGGGAGCGAGCTAACTACAGATCCAAACTGAACATCAGCTTGTTCTTTCATCCTTCATGGAGAAGGTATATCCAAACATCACACCAACACCACACCTGTCTTCAGGAGGCAGCAGTTTGCACAGTCCAGTTTAAAATTACTTGCATCCCCTGGAATGTGTAAAAGGTACAATAAAATGTTTATTATCTGAAACTATAATAGACTTTTCCCTCTTGGTTTTTTTCTTCCCACACTCTCTCCTTAGACCTCACAGTTCAACGTGTGGGCAGCAGAGCATTTTGCCACCCAGTCACCACACTGCAAATTAACATCAGGCAGCAAAGGCATATCTGCCCAAGATGAAAAGATGCCTTGGAATCCTTCATATTTAGTTAATATATTTTCCTTTCACTTAGTTATGCTGGCACTAACTCCATGCCCAAGAGGGCAGTGCAGCTCTGGCAGTCTGATGGAAAGCTTCTTGGTTATCTGCCAGATGCAGCAGGAACACTGCACAGAGCCCTCATGGCCCTGCAGAAGAGGTTTTCCTTTCTGTTCTCTGAGCTGATGCTGCTGAGCTTTAAATTCAACACTGTCCCTAAGCCTGCATCACCAGAGTTACAATTAGGTCATGCTGGGAATAAATGCTCCAAAAGAGACCTACGACAGTTTAAGGAGGCACCTTCCAGTTGGGAGGGAGCAGAAACACAGATATATCCCTTTGCTCCCAGATTAGAATTAAATAGAAGTGACACCAGAAACACTTTCCAAAAGACTTGTGGAGTCTGCAAACGCCTCTACTTTGCTCTGTGTGCAGTAACCCATTTCGTGCCTCCTTTTTAAAACTCTGGTTCTTCTCTACTCCTACATAGTTTGTTGTGTTGCCTCATTCCAGTCGTGTTGCACCTGCTAAGTATGCTCTAAATCAGGGGCACCACCCAGAGAGTTCAAGCTAAATAGGAACAGGAGAACTAAGCCCCAAGGGAGATTCACCGTCTGCATCTTCAAGCCCAAACAGCTCTGTCTTGTCATTCTTTCAATCTGAGGTGGAGAAACCAGAATATTAAATCACATCAGGAGATGCCCATGCGTGTCTGATATTTTTGCCTTCTTTTTCCCCTTGGCCTACCATAACATAAAAGAAAAGAAGGAAAAAAAAATCAATAATAGTTTCTCTGTGATTGGAAAAAAAAAATCTTATATGATCCAAATGTTGAAACCAGTGACAAGTGAGCCATGTCAGGGAGTTTTTCTTACTTAAACAGGTACCACAGATGGAACAGAGTGTGGCTTCCACTTTTAAAAAGAATTATTCAAAATCAGTAACAAAGCCACTGAATTTTGAAGCCCAAATATATAATTCTTTGCATGTATCAGGTATTATATCATAAAAAGCAAGTAAAAAAGTGGCAGACAGACAACCTTATGGTCTCCTGTTCATTTTCCAGTCAAATTAGAATGAAAAGTGCTTGGTTTCTGTCCCAGGTTTTCAGTTTTTGGAGTCCCAAGCTTCAGCCTGGCCATATATTACACAAGGTTTGGCCCATTTC